TTGGACGGGTGGACCACCCCGCAGATGTAACGGATGAGGTCGCAGCGCAAGGACTGGCTATCCGGGGTGGAGAGATACTGGCGCTGGAACCAGTCTTGATACCGCTTCTGTTGACCCAAACGCACCTGGGGGGGGTGGAAAGAAGGGAGGAGCTGCCTCGGATCGGAACCTGGCTTGATGGGAGACCCAGGTCCCTCTGGCGGGAAGATCAGTAGTCCTCCACTTATGACCAGATAGATAGATGATAAAGGGAGGATGGATGGATGGATAGCTAAAGAAAGAGATAGATAGATAGATAGATAGATAGATAGATAGATAGATAGATAGACAGACAGACAGACAGACAGACAGACAGATGACAGAGAGAGAGACAGACAGACAGACAGACAGATAGATAATAGATGGAAAGATAATAAAAACTGGCAGACAGGAAAAAGATGATAAATAGAAAAAGCAAGAAGGAGAGAGAGAGACAGATGATAAGAGATAATAGATAAGTAGGTAAGTAGGTAGGTAGGTAAAGATGATAGACGGACACGATAGGATAGATGATAGATAGCACGATAGATAGATAGATAGATAGATAGATAGATAGATAGATAGATAGATAGATAGATAGATAGATATAGATGGATGATAGGATAGAGAAATAGCACTATCAATAAGTAGGTAGGTAGGTAGGTAGATGGGTGATAGGAGAGAGAGAGAGAGATGGATGATAGTATATAGATGGATAAAAAGGGATGGATAGGATAGATTAGATTAGCTAGATTGAGATAATAGAGATGATATAGACAGATGATACATATAAATAGATGAGAGAGAGAGAGAGAGAGAAATGATAGACAGATTTTTATAAGCTTTCCTCCCCATGATTGTGAAGTGAATTGCTGCTAATAAACCCAGGGGAAAAAAGAAAGAAAAACACCAGATAAAATTACCCGGGAGGTCATGAAAAGCAACTTGGTCTCCATATCCGGGGTGAGACGACAAGCCAGAAATTTCCGGG